CTCTGTGATCTAACATCAAAATGATGCACATCCAACAACAATAGAGGCAAAATAGAAAGAAAAAAAAATTAGTTAAGAGTCCTCCGACAATAACCAATAAAACACCAATAGCCTCGCAACTTCTGTATTAATACCTGATTAAGCAATTCATGCTGCAAAGGTTGTAGAACCTTAGCTAAAGGAAGAAAGCATCTCCACACAAACGAACTTACGGCATCACAATCAGCCCCTGAAAAGAAATAAATTAGACGGGGGTAATGTTACAGCTGCAAATACTCCATTTCAGCATATCATCCTAGTTTCCACTTAAAATCCACTTCTAGATGAAAAACAGAGCAAAAGCTATACACAATGTAAGGGGCGGGAGCTGAAAGCTCAAGGTAAAAAGAATTTTAAAAAAAACGCAGTAAACAGGATGGTAAATTGGTAACTCACCCGATTTCTTCAGGAGATGACAAAACGCGCCCATCAGTGACACAAGGTGGAGACGTTTATCAGCATCCAAATTATCACCTTCATTGATAATATCCTATTACGTTCATCAAATAAAACAAAGTGTAAACACCAACGAAAAAGATAGAGAAACATAGGACAAATGCAGAGAAGAATGAGGGGTACACCTTGAGAATTCGAGGGAAGTCATGGAGGAGTGAAGCGAAGAGCGAGGACGGAGACAAGCCGGTAGAGACCAGAATGCAATCCAGCAATGCCGGAATGGCAGACGGAGGCACCTGATAGAAGCTTTTCGACAGCGAAGCAACCAGAGAAGCCATGGAACCTGCTTCTGCTTCGGACATTGTATCACTCTTCTCGAATGGAATTCGCAGTAAAACCCTAATTATCGGCTGCTAAACCTTAAACTCTTGCCCAGGTGTCATGGTTTGCTAAACGTAACCAGCATCGTTAATTCTTCGCGCCCTACTTATTTATTATGATATAATTTTTAAAAAAATAATGTTATTGGTGGAAACACATTACGCAAACTAGTCACGTGTTTTTTATTTATGTGATTCAAATTAGTCTTACTTAAAGAAACACAATTTAGTTTTACTTAAATTAATGGCTTTGTAATTTTAGAAAAACTTAATTTGTAAGTTACTATAGTTTTTTTAAGTTTTTAATTAAGTTTTTATAATTAAAAATACTCTTAAAAAATATTTATAAACTGAAAAATTTATTTTTAAATCATTCATTTATTAACATCGTTATAATTTTATTAGTTTATTTATGTTGAACAAATATTGTCACATGACAATTATGTTTTTTTTATTATGTTAACTTGATTTCCTATTATAATAATTACACTTTTCATCTTTTTTATTTGATAGAGATTTGTAGTTTGTTTTGATACAATACAAGAGGAAATAACTAAACATGTAAGTAAAATTATATAGTGTGGGAAAAAGAGAGACAACTATCTAAGTATTCTTTTTATATAATATCTCTTCATACTTTGACACCGAGTATTTTTTTATAAATAAGTCTCTCCAAATTTAAACTCAAGTATTTTTTTGCAATTTTACACTCAAATCTAATAATTCAAGGTTACAAAGGTTTACAAAGTTGTTTCGTTTTTTTTTTTTTTGAGACGTAATATAATAAATTAAGTGCAAAGATTCCTTATAAGAAAGAATATGTTAAGTCAAAAGATGACCTTCAATCCCTCAAGTTTTGGAGTTTTAATGTTAACAAATGAAACATTTTTATAAGAGAAAAATATTTTTTAAAATGTTTATCAGATGCAGTATAAGACGCAAATTTGTAGGACGATGTGAATTAGACGAAGCATACAATCTATTTCATATTCATTAAATGTTTGAGACCAACAACAAAATTCATTTGAATATCTTATTCCTTAATAGATCAAACTATAAAATCATCTTAGAATATACAAATCTGTCACAGAGAACAAAATTATTTTTTTGTCAAGACCAAAGACAAATATCCATAAAATCATGGAGAAAAACAGATAAAGTCATTATTATGTTTTTCTCTGACATTACTTCTACAAGCTATGTTTGGTATGGAAATATGATAAGTAGTTTCATTGATCAAATTAGAGGCACTATTTGGTGAAATGCATTTAATGCTTGAATTAAATGAGTCAATGATTACCTCTCATCACATGCAAAGATGTTGAAGATAGACGAAACAAACTTGTGAGTTGGACTCAAAGCATTGCAACAATCATCTTCTCCAAACTATTATATAAAAAGATTTAAAGCTCAAGAAAAAAAGACAAAACACAAAGATACAGTTGTACATAAACATATACTCTCTGTAAATTATACTTGTGTATAATCTTCATTATTTATTGTAAAAGCTTAATGATTTACACTAGTTATATAACGTTTAAAGGAAACGAAAATAACACTATTGTAACCTTCATAACCATTTTTATAAGGTTGAGCCTGGAATGGATTGTTCGTAAAACAATACTTGTTTGAGCCTAAAAAAACTTGGTTGAAAATAATACTTGGTTGCTAAGCCGATAAAGGCTTGTTGTGAAAATAATACTTGAGTAATTGCTTGAAGAGACAAGTTAAATAATACTTAAGATTGAGTCAGAAGTGACTTGTTGAAAGAAAACTTATATCTTTGTTGAAAAATAGTGAAACTCAATCTGGTTGGATTGAGAACTAGGCGTAGTCTCAATAGTTGAGATAAACCAATATAAAAATATTTAGTGTCCTGTCTGACTTCTCTTTGCACTCCATCTAACTAGCGATACTATTTCACCATGTAAGAAGTGCGAGTTTTTGATACACATTATTCAACCCCCTTATAGTGTTTATCTTTTCTCCACATAATATATTTTTTACAATTGATTTTTCGTTAGGTTGTCATTTCATTATTTTTTAGCTTCAAGCTTTCTTTTATAGTGTTTTACTAAAGATGACCGTTGCAAATTCTTTAACTTTTCTCTCATGGCTTATTTCGTTTGTCTTCATGATTTGCTCTTTAAGAAGATAAATGTGTGTTGGTATAATAAATGTTTGCATTAAATGCTTTCATTAAATTGTTACTTCTTATCTTATCAAAGAATATACTTATCATCTTTTGAGTACTGAGTGGGTAGAAGCATGGTGTAGGGCATTGTAGTGATGAAACAACTTTTGACTACAACTTTTCATGTGTTGTAGAGATCTGCTTGTCCTTTATTTGGTACAAAACATGTCTTTCTTTCCTTTTATATAGAATATTTATGGTTTAGGGTTCAATGTTTAATGTTTATGGTTAATGGTCCAGGGTTTATGATTTAGGGTTAAGGTTTAGTGTTTTAGTGTTTATGATTTAAGGTTTAGGGTTTGAAACAAAACATGTATTTCTTTCCTTTTTATAAAACGTTGATAGTTTGGTACTGTGGAACATTTTTAAAATTCGATATGCTAATGAAACATTTAGACATAGTCATTTTCTTGTTTAAAAATGTATATCTCTTTTTATGACTAAGAGATAATCTTAGTCGGTAACATAAATGTCTTAATGTGTTTGTCTTATACAAGTATTTGTTTTACTGACAAATTGTGTTTTAGTGGAAGATTTGTCTTAGTCATTTTGAAAACTTATACTATTGATAAAAAAAAACTTCTTTATCAAGAAGATCGTTCGAGCACTTCGATACTTAGAATACTTTGATCTTCTTGAGAAGAGATCCAAGATTTCACTCTCTTTGACTCTTTTTTTACTCTCTCTAACTTCCATGATGACTAGGATTTGAGAAAATACTTTCTGTTAAGAGTGTGGACCTTGTTTCACATTAGTGAATATTTACAATTCCTTAAAAATCGTTATTCCTATCAAATAACAATTATTCTCAAAACTACTCTACTAAACACATTTATAATTTAATCCTTAATTATTTAATTATTTATTTATTAGTCTCTTGATACATCACATGTTTCTCATATGAGACATAATTATCTTACGCTTAATAGATTTAAAATCTCAATTACGGAATGGCTAAGACCTAAATTCCCCTTGCATGACCATTCTCTTCAATCAGGTGAAGAATTTCGTAGTCCAAAGAATTCTAAAATCTTGCAATGGAGGCAAACGAACAATGAAACTCCAACAAGTAAGGAAGGGTGAAATTTGTTGATTAGTTCATAGATCCTATGGTGCCTAGCATTTACAGCACCACGAATATTCCACACTATAAGATTAATATCTTTAAACCCCGTCATCATAAAAAAAAAATGTTAGTAGGATGTTAAGCCCTTCACATTGTCATATCTACATCCTGCAGCTCCTTACATAGTAATATAAATTTCAATTAATGTTAATAATGTGACTTTTATATAATTTTATAAATAAATATTTTGTGTACAGTATGACATAATTTTGTGAATTATTAGGGTCGCAAATGTAAATTTTTAAACATTATGACAAAATGTGTAAATTCAAAAAACAAGTAATAAAATATGTAATTTAATTTTTTTTTGCCATGTTAGCCACAATGTCAATAACAAATGTCATGATCTATCAACAATAATTAAGTAATGTCAAATAATCAATCAATGCAGAGATAAAATGTGTAAATTTAAATTCTAAGTGACAAAATTTATAAAATTGTGAAAGATAAGTGGTAAAAAGTGTAATTAAATATTTAATTATGAATACTTATAAAAAAATATTTAAATTTTTATACGTGAAAACTCATATTTGTAACATGTCACGTAAGAAACCATATCTTTCTAACTTAACCTAGGAGTTGATGTAGTAAATTTCTCTTGCACATAATATTGCTCCTTATGAATTGAACAATGACTTGGTCGACTCAGGTTGACCCCCTTACTCTACGCACAACAATGCCCCCTTGCTACACGCTCAAGTTTGCAACACATGCTACTTTTTCCACGCAAGCTTTTATTGAATTGAGGTATTGACTAGAATAAATCCAATTGACCCAAGAATTTTTTTTTGCAAGAAGGTAGAATCCTTGAGATGGCATTAACTAATAAATTGGTATATATACTATCCAGGTATACTAACGTAGTAGTGACTTAGAAGTTAAAACGCTACTCATCTTTGCTTCCATATATATACAACTTGGGCTTGGAATTGGATACATCCGATACATCAAGTATTTGGTGAGTTCATATTAATAGTGGTTTTTCTTCTTCTTTTTCTTCTATTGTGACTAAGACTAACATATGCTTCTACGCATGCACATGACAGATGACATGGAAAGAGAGTCATCAGGGATTGTCAGCTTAATGCTAAACATGTGCTTATGGCTTGCCCTGGTTCCATTCTTCATTACTCAGGCTAATTCAGCACAAGACAAATCTGTTGCAAGGGAAGTTCTTGCTGATAATAACCCGGGTACATATATACCACAAACTGCATATTTGGTTCCAAATTTATTTATTTTTACTTAAATATATTTTTAGTTAATCAATACGAGATAAATTTCTTTTTAATCTTGTAATTTGAAAAAAAAATCTTGCTTTATTTTCTCTACTTAATGTTGTTGATAATTTATTGAACACTATCGTATAAAATTTATCTATTAATATTATTGTTAATGAAAATATACATTAAATTCTGTTATTATCAGTTATGTTATTGATGCCTTTAGATTAAAATAATATACTTTTTTTAAAATTATAAAGACTAAAAAAGTTAATTTTAAATTTTGAGAAAAAAAAATTATTTTAAATTTAAAGGACTAAAAATATATTAAGTTATTTTTATCATTTTTATAAGTAAGAATTATAATGAAAACAAGATAATTTGAACCTATATAGTGGTGGATCTAAAATTGTTAGTGGGAACAATTTTTTTAAAAAAATAAAAACTAATAATTATTATAATATATACAAAGAATAGAATATAAATGTCGTAAAAAATCATCATTAAATTCAATATATAAAATTCAGAGATATAAAATATAATATCTTTAAACATATAATAATAATTTAATTAAAATGAAAGGGATATATTTATCCACCTTCACTATAATATAAGTTTGATATTGCTTATAACTTTTTATATAATATTCCAACTATCACCCGTTTCAAATTAAGGAAACATTTTTAAGTTTTTTTTTTTTAATAAACATCCAAATTGGTACTTCAACTTGGAAAAAACTTTTATATTAACCCCTAAAACTAAGAAATTGTTAAATACATTTATAAAAATGCAAGTTCAGAATCATATATTAGTCTAATTAAACTAAAAAAATTTATAACTAAAATGACAATATTAATATATATTTAGGAATATTAAATTTAAGAATTTATTTGATATTCTAAGAAGTTAATTAATTTACAATTTATTAATTAATTTCTTAGATGAATATGATACTACTTCCCAAATTCAGGATCAGTGCAGGCGTTTACTCTCTAATCTTTTTTACTCCTATAATAGAATTTTAGGCAGGAATTCGCAATCTTCAATGTATACAATTGATGCTTAATTGAATTTATGAAAGTAAAAGATCACATGTTAATTATTATTTACTACCATGGAAATCTAACCCGCTTTCGTAGGTACTCACTCAAACCGTCTCGATTTGGACGGGAAAAACCCGTATTTATCAGGTTCGGGTTTTTCCAGATTGATACAATCGAGCCCCGTCTCGCTTCGTTTAATAATATAATTAAAAAATTATTTATATATATATATATAAATCAAAATTAGAAATATTTATATGTAAAAATTTATATTATTATTTTTTTTTAAATTATTCATATTTATTTAAAAGAAAAAGAAAAAAAAAGGAGCGCGGGGAAACCGAACCTCACCAAAACAAAGATGAAGACCCAGATTTTACTCTCGCTATGAGCGGGAGCAGGGTGGTTTAAATTTTCCCGCCCCACCTCGCCCCCTTGCCATGCCTACCCTGGTCTACTGCCATAAGAACTGGACAAGTTGTATATATTTTATATTCATCTGACTGAAAATAATATTTGTAGGTTTCATAAGCATTGATTGTGGATCGAACATCGATTACTTTGACAATGATACTGGAATTTGGTATCAAACAGACCAAGAGTTTGTGAAAACAGGAACGAATCATCTGGTTTCATCCACTGTGAACTTAAACTATGTTTACTTTGCGAGACGGTTGAACACGTTGAGATGCTTTCCAGAAGGAGAAAGGAACTGCTACAAATTGGAACCAAAGCAGGGCAAAAACAATAGGTATCTCATCAGAGCATTCTTTTCATATGGAAATTATGACGGCAAAAATGAAAACCCAGTTTTTGAACTGCATCTTGGAGTCAATTTTTGGAGAAAGGTTAATGTAAGTGCTTATTTCACCTTCGATGAGGTCATTCTCACTTCCTCATCTGATACTATAGATGTGTGCCTTGTAAAGACTGGCCCAACAATCCCTTGCATTTCTTCATTGGAATTAAGGGTTTTAAACAGTTCCAGTTATCAGAATCAGATCATGTCCGTCAGCGATCCACAACCACTGTTATTATATCAAGTTAGGACTGATGTTGGTTCCCCACAATTGCAATCGCCTGATAATGTCGAGTAATCATCTGATCCTGCTGGTTTCATTTGCCTTCTTAATTTATACATAATTAGTTATGCATCTGTTGATGATACAGTTCATTTCAAGGAAGTTTAATTTTCTCATAAAATCTTTACCTTTTAATTTTTTTTAATTCCAAGTACTTAATTTGTTAACATTCATAATTTTGTTGAAGTAAGTAAAAGGAAATTTAAATTTTATCTACACAAAAAGATAGATAAATTTTTATTTAATTTAATCCTACTACTTTTAAAATATTTAGTTTGGTCTCACCGCTTTTAAATTATTCAATTTGATTATCTAATTTTTAAAAATGTTCAATGTTATTTTTTTTATCTAACTTCATTAACATTGTTAAAGTCAATTTTAAATTCAAGGATAACATTAAATATTTTTTAAAAATGAGATAAACAAATTAAATATTTTAAAAATAGTGAAACTAAATTAAATTCTAAAAAAAAAAATAGAAAGACTAAAAATATAATTTGACTTAAAAAATAAAATCTATAATAGACTTTAAAAAAATATGTATAGGAAGAATAAAATAAAATGTTTTAATTATTGGAATTAAAAAATAAAGTTTGTAAAACTATAGAAAAAAAAAGTAATTAAATTTTTTAATAATCATATGTTGATTTTTGTTGAGAATTCCGTTGAAACACTTTTGTTAATATTTGTAAATTCGTTTAATTCCATCAACGGTCTCAAACACGGCAAGTATACCGGCCGTTCAAGTAGTAAAAATATCGTATCCACAGGGATTAGAAGGTAATATAAGCATTTATTGACTATTCGTGACTAAAGAATAATTCCAATTTCTTAGTTTGTGCAGTGAATGCAAAGTTGTGACTATTGGAATGAAAGCTGTAAATAAATATTGTTTTGTGAGTGGAAAAGGTAAGGAATGGTATTGTGGTATTGTGAGGTTGTGGGGGTCAGATTTCACCAAACGTAACACTAATGTATCCTTAATCTCTTGTTGAATT